TCCAGTTGTTGCTTGTTCTCTATTCGGGACTAGTCTTGTAGTAGCTAGTGGCGTGTATACGTTTCTATACGTATCTAGATTATGCTGGGTTGCGATTTTGGAAATTTGGGAGTCCTGGCACAGCCATAGCTTTCGATTCTCTCGGTCCCGTATAATACGGATTCCTAGGAACCATTCTAAATCATGGAATTCCTTCATCTCGTACGTAGCCAGTAGATAGGCCCGTAGTTCCTGGAGTTTCTGGCTGTTCTCTTTCCGTGCGCATGCCACGATGTCATCAACGTAGAAGAACACTACTAGTTCGTCTGATGCCCAGAGGCAGTCTTCGTCAGGAACCTGATGCAGCCCGAATTTCGTGAGGGTCGTTGTGAGATGGTTGAACCAGAGAACTGGTGAACGCCGTAGGCCATAGAGTGCCCGTAGCAGTAGGAGACATTGCCCTGGCCGTACAAATCCTTCCGGGCAATCTACGTATACAATTTCATCTAGGTGGCTATTTGTAAATGCTGAGGAAGCATCTGCTTGCCAGGTATCTAGATCGAATGCCGCAACTAGGGCCATTACGCATCGGAATGCACGTGCTGCCAGTGTTACCGCGTACGTATCCTTTTCGCTCGCAGCTTGTAGATCGCCCCTAACAACTAGGCGTGCTTTGAACGTATTGAGGAATCCGTTATTGTCGAATTTGTACGAAAAAACCCACATTAGTGGAATTGGACGATTTGAGATTGGAACTGTATTTCTATCCGTATATTCGAACGTATTGCGATTCACTAGGGTTGTATATTCGGCCGCGGCTGCTAGCTCGAATTCCTTTCCGTATTTGTGGCTTCCTAGATCCTTCCAAAATCGTGGCGGAGGTGGAATCTCATCACGGTGTAGCTGGCTCTGTTGCTTGCTAGTGGCATGGAATGCGGCGTGAAAGAACCCGTGTGGTTCTTGTAGTAATGCGTGCATTGCATTCATCGCCGCGTTGTTGTTCCTGCCCCGTACGCGATTTGGATTTGCTGATGCGTAGGACAGTTGATTGATGTTGTAGTTTACTGCTGTTTGTTCCCTACGAGAACGGGGTGCCGTGGCCGTATCTGGGGCTAGATCTAGGGCCGTGTTTAGGGCAGAATCCGGGGCAGAATCCGTGGTAGAATCCGTGGTAGGATCCGGGGTAATATACGGATCAACCGTAGTTTCTCGTGTAGTTGATTCCCGTGTAGGTTCTCCATCTGAACCTGGATCTGACGTACTAGGCGTGCTCGTCGTGCTGGACGTACGGGGCCGTACGTTGATAATTTCGAGGAGAGGGTCGGATTCTTCCGTATTGGTTTCTTCCTCATCGATTTCTACTAGCTCACTGGCTAGTGACTGGGGCTTGGGCTGTACTATAATACACTCCAGGATTTCTTCCACTGGCTGGCGTAGCCTAGCAGATAGATCTAGTGTTCGTGGCTCGTAGAATACCTTCTCGTTAAATGTAACATCTGTTGTTCGTACAACTTTTTGTTCACTTGGAATCCAGATGCGATAGATATTCGTAGCTTCATAGCCTACAAGGTATCCTACGTGCGCACGGGGCTGCATTTTTTCCAATTTTGGAATATTAGGAATCAATGGATAGGCCCTGCATCCGTACGCGCGTAGATGCGAGATGTTCGGTTTTGCTGGCCTAGGAAACCCCAGGCACCGTTGTAGTTCTTCGAACGGTGATGCCCAGTTGAACTGTTTGTTAGGGGTCCTGTTCATCGCGTAGGCAGCGAATTTGAACGTTTCTGGCCATAGTGATTCCGGCAGTTTAGACTGTATACAGGCGGTCCTGGCCTTTGTTACAATCCGGTATCCTGATTGTTCTGCTGCGCCGTTTGGTGCTGCATTATGCGGTGGTGACGATTCCACGGTGATTCCCTCATCTAATAGGAATTGGGCCAAGGGCCTAGTACTGTCAATTGTAGAAAGTGACGATTCATTGTCTGTTTTGATGAACTGGATGCGGCATCCAGGATAACGGCATTTAACCCAGTTCACAAATCGAATAACTAGCCGGGGAAATTCGTCCTTAGTAGTACAGTTATCTACGTAGGTCATCCGGGTTCGATCGCATAGGAAATGCGCACTGTACCGGTTCTCGTTGTATGCTACTGTCATATGCACGAAATCGATGTGAATTCGTTCAAACGGACGTTCCGCGCGTGTGACAGGTCGCCGTGATGTTACTTTTGTAGCTTTTGATACTGCGCAAGCTTCGCATTCCACAGTTGTTGGACCTCGAAGAATTGCTCCGTCCGTTGATGTTCCTAGGGCCTCCATAGCTTCTGGACCTGGATGCCCTAGCCGTAGGTGCCAGGTGATTCCGTCTGTTGTACTATCTGATTGCTTGGCCGATCGACGATTGATGCGATTTGGAGCCGTGCTGATGGCCGTTTCCGGGGCCGTAGTGATGGCCGTTTCCGGGGCCGTAGTGATGCCCGTTTCCGGGGCCGTAGTGATGCCCGTAGGAAGGGCCGTTTCCAGGGCCGTAGTGATGCCCGTAGTTGGAAATGCGGCGTGCTGGGCTGGTGGCACGTATTCAAGAACCCATTGGTCATGAATCATTATGGCGTGCGCCAGGAAGATGATGTTGTTTCCGTTTTTCTTGTATAACTTGTCGTGTTCGCTGGACCAGTAGATTCCTCGATTTTTCAGCATTTTGACGCTTACAAGAGACGTCTGCATTGCCGGGCAGTAGGCAGCCTCAATTAGGGTTAGTTCAGCATTGTTTGTACAATGAACAAGTGCAGATCCGTATCCTAGAATTGGCTGGCGCGTTCCTCCTGCGAATAGGAAGTCCCCTTTTGGTGGCGGACGAATTGGTGAGATGAATCGTGATGCATCGTTTATCACGTGCACGGTAGTGCCCGAATCGAGTACAACGCTATCACGTAGATGATATTCCTGTGAAACGTTGTAGGATCCTTTTGTGATAGCACCTGAGAATCTCTGGCCCGTAGCCGTAGTAGTGGCGGAATCCGTGGCTGGATCCGTAGCTGGAAACGTAGCTGGAAACGTAGCTGGCTGTCCGCCAGGGCTACTGCCCTTCTTGATGGCGTTTTGTACGGTTGTTCATAGCCGTTCGTTTGTGGCTAGTTTCTGTTGGATTTCTCGTTCCATTTCTGGCACCAGCTTGAAATACGAGGGCTTGATTGTTGGGTTTAGATAGTAGCATCTACTATAGAAATGTCGTTTCCTGCATACGCACATCGGCACCTCGCGATCACGGATTGTTGTAGATGTTGATGATGCATCTTGTTGAGATTTTCCTTGGAACGTTGTGTTGAATGCTGCTAATGCCGTGAATGGGGCCTTTCCTCGTTGGATTGCGTTCTCGTCACGATCGTTGCGCAGGGCTCCGTGTAGTTGTTCAACCGTGGGCAGTGGTTTATTCTTAGCCAACGCATTCTGGACCTTCTGTTTCCAGTAGGTTGTGAATTCGGGCTGCAACGTAGATACTACGTGTAGGAAGTTGTGCACTGCTCGGTCTCCAGAGACATCAGGTAGGTTCTCTTCCTTGGCAGCGTTGTAAGCTAGTAAGAAACTAGCCATCCAAACGTCGATGTTCTGATTCCTTGGTGGTGATAGTAGCCTGTTGTACTGCGCAGCGACTCGTAGTTTCCGATTTTGATCTGATGGGGCAATAGCGTTCCTAAGGATTTGCAGCCATTCGCATACGGGTTTTCCGGTGTAGTAGTATTGTAGTGCAACGACTACGGATTCGTTGATTTTTGTCTGGATCGCGTAGAGGGCAGTGGCGTGCTTGTTGTGCGCTTTTTCATTGATAGTGTATTGTTTTGTCAATCGTTCGTACGTCTTGTATTCGTCGTCGTTGAGGATGGTGATGCTAGCATCTGCTGGCGCATTTTCTTTCACCATTTGGATTGTTGGCTCGGTAGGCGCTTTCTTTGTAGGCCTGTTTTCGGAATCCGGATCGATATATTCCCAGATTTGATGGCATTCCGCAAGGGTTCGGATTTGATTGATCCATAGCTTCCAATCAGGTCCGGATGATAAGATGACCTGAGTTGTAGATAATAGCTTGATTGATGATGACTCCATATCGACAGCTATTCGAATGAACGATTATCGATATACTGATGAATTGCGTGTTCCTAGCCAGGAAATGTTCGTTGGAAACGTTGGAAACGTATATATAGATGTACGTAGGAGGATAGTGATGTGGAACGGCGTGCGTTATTCCGGGCTCATAACTGGTAGCTGGCGTAGGAAGGGAGAATCAGTGAGGGAGACATGAGTTGTATTGAGGTTCTAGCGAGTGGCTATATAGTTGGAAGACGGTAGGAGTGGAACATGGTGAAACAAGGAGAAGTGACAGGAGCGTAGCAGCAGCGTAGCAGTAGCGTTCTAGTACAGTATCAAATACACTAGTTCTTACGCACTAGGGGGTGCATCCAGCTGCCACATCCTCAGTGCGTTTTCGTGACCCGCATCATAACCACCACCCACCAATATCGCCACGGACGCTTGCCATGAATTGTATTAAGGTGGAGCTCGGCCGTATCGGAGTTCCAGCTCTCGATAATCGCCGTGAATCCAGACGTCATCCCAAGACCATGCAGAAACGACTTTTAATGGCTTAATCCGTTAGCGTCTCTATGAACGTCGGCTATTAAAATACTAGCCAATGGCTTAAATTATTCACAATCTAGGATATGTCCGAGCTTAGCGCAGTGTCAGCATCTATAAGACTACACAATATATAGGGCCAGTCGGGGAAGGGCGGAAAAAGTCAAGGAGGTGTGTGGGATGGTGGCGTGGCGTCTCCGTGCCTCTAAAATCCCGCGGTAGCTTCTAGCTGGGTACGCCAATTACTATCGCTGAGAGTGCGAGGAAATGGTCAGAAAGGGCATGTTGCGTCCATTGGTCTATGTAGATAAATGAGTATTTCCGTACCTCCGCCCGATTCTATGCAATTAAAACGTCAACAGCAGAATCAACATTTATTGCTACTTTACCTCATCCCTTGCACCTCCGTGTTAGGACGGTTTGATATTAATCTATGGACTTAACAGGGTGTTCTTTTGAGTTGAGACCAATGCCTTGCCACGTTCCTTAACGCCCTTATTGGAATTCTTATACAAGGCAGCGAAATACTCCCAAAGATCTTTGTCTTGGGCCGTCACGAGATCGCCCACTCTAATTAAAGCAAACTTCTGGGTTAGATAACGAAGAGTGGCCACATGAAACTTGTTTTGGTGTGACTGTACGTTGCGATCAGCAATAGAAGGTTGTTACAAATGCAAAGAATATATACCTTTAGATTGCCCAACTGTGTAAATTGCTTGCCACAGTCGTTAAGTCTGTATGTGAATGGCTTGATATTCTGGTGCACAGTCTTGTGTGCTCGAACGTTGCCACGTTGTGCAAAAGTCTTACCGCAGATGTTACAGTCGTACGGTTGTTCTCCAGTGTGTCTTCGCTTATAAGTCTAAGAAAGATTAGCGAGGAACATTTACACCACGCAAAGTATACTAACCTTGAGATTGCCGAGCTGAGAGAATCGTTGACCACATGATGGCTCCTTGCATAGCTAACGATAGTTGTCAGTAACCCGTTCCCGACATAGCGATGACGGTACTTAAGAATGGCTTGACTCCAGTATGAGCACGAGTGTGGATTTCAAGCTGGCTCTTCTGCCAGAAGCTTTTGTGGCAGTCGGGTATACTGCACTGGTATCTCTTCTCAGGTGGGTAAGTAACGGGTGCCGTGTATCTAATGAGCGACGGTTTATGGGGTAGTATCTTACTGGGCTGCTGCTGTCGTTGTGCTGGCTTTGGCTTGGCCTGGATGGCCTTTATTAGAGTGTCCACGTGGGTTGAGAAATTAATGTTGCTGTCGGACTTGGAGCTCGTTTGCTTGCAGTCGGCGGCGTAAATGGCGTCGACCTGGCTGGGCTGGATTGGGGAGGCTGCTTCGGTCTTGACTGGTGGAGTGGTTTCCATCATGGGGAAGCTGTGGACGTCTCTGGCGGTTGGCAGCCCGGTTTGTAGCTTATTGACGCCCGAGTATACTCCGGTGTAGGCTATTGTCGTAGGGTAGCTGAATGCTAGCTGCATGTTGCGCGGGTATACGGCAAGTGAATCGAACGCAAATGCTCCAGACTGGTAGGGGATAGAGGTCGTGGCGTGGCTTTGGAACATGGGCATAGCCAAGTCGAGGTGCGTTGGCTGGAAAGCTCTCGAGGTTGGGGGATTCTACACTGTCCGGACAGAAGTGTTGTAAGAAGGCAACATGCTCATGCTGGGGACATGGACAGATTGGTCGGGTAGTCGTTGCTAGATTCTAGCGTGAGAGGCAGCGCGCCGCTGCAGGAAAATGGAAGGCAGATAGAAGTAGCGCAGGAGATAGACGTAGGAGAGAGACAAATAAAAGCTGCAGAGAAGCCTTAAGACGACGAGTGGGGCAGGAGGCTAAAGGCAAACGTGCATCCTTAGCCTAGCTGGGCGTAACCAGCTCTATATACTACTAAGAGCCAGTCCTCTCCTTGCTACACCTCTTAGATTCCAGATTTAGACATATCCGAGGATTTACTGAGCCCCAGATATTACCCTTGTAAGCCTCCTCAACCTCTTCGAGGTCTCCTATACCAACATAAGGTCTAAGTGCGGGTATCCGCTCTTTGGGCTGGGACGCCACTGTCTTGGAACAAGGGGGTCCACGGGGCAGTTGCGGCCCGGAAAAGCAAGGCTCGAACCATATCGCGCCTTGTTGTCGTTCAGATGGCCTTGGCCTATTAGTCTACTTTCGCCAGTCTTCGAGTTCGGCAAATGTCTCATCGACTATGCGCGATATCATCTCCACTCGGACAGCGGGCCTTGCAAATGTCACCAATTAAGACTGCCCTTCTATAGCCTCTCTTCCCGCACTTGCCGTCATGCTAGAACCCTTCCGCAACCCCTGAGAGAATGTGGGTCTGCCAGTAATAAAGTTGAACAGGAGGGGCACAGTTGCTCATGCATACTACTCTACTTTGCGGTCTACCTCTGCTGAGGTTTAAGTGGCAAACTTCAACACGTGGTTCTAGAAGATGCTCGAAACTTCACTGTGGCAAATTAAGAAGCGTATATTCACCTGGATCCCCGGCCCCCTCTATGAAATAGAGATAAAAAAGAAAATAAGAATAATAACTTAACTCATCGCAAACGCTCTAGGATATGTCAAGCAAATTTTCACATATCCAGACTCTTCCAGATCCAACACCAATGCCGATTGTCTTCTCTGACGTTGCCGAACATGACGGCCGATACTCTGACGGCAGCCATACTAGCTTTTCAGAATTATGTGTTATCCAATTTGAACTCAACGCTAGGCCTTGAATTCTAGGCTTCCGAGGCTCTATGATAGTTGGTGTACTACTTGGAACTAATGGTGTTGCACTAACACTAACAGTACCAATTTCAGTGTGAAGATACAAACCAGTAGTGTCAAATGATATTTTGCTAAGTGCCTCACCAATGTCGAGCGTCTGGAGGCACGCGCCGCTGCTCGCATCCCAGATCTTGACTGTGTTGTCGTATGACGCTGACGCCAGCCACGTCGAGTCGTGAGAGAAGGCCACTGAGTTGACCCAATTGCTATGGCCCTCGAGCGTCTGCAGGCACGCGCCGCTGCTCGCATCCCAGATCTTGACTGTGCTGTCGACTGACCCTGACGCCAGCCGCGTCAAGTCGTGAGAGAAGGCCACTGAGTTGACCGAATAGCTATGGCCCTCGATCGTCTGCAGGCACACGCCGCTGCTTGCATCCCAAATCTTGACTGTCTTGTCGACTGACGCTGACGCCAGCCGCGTCAAGTCGTGAGAGAAGGCCACTGACGTGACCGAATTGCTATGGCCCTCGAGCGTCTGCAGGCACGCGCCGCTGCTTGCATCCCAGATCTTGACTGTCTTGTCGACTGACGCTGACGCCAGCTGCGTCAAGTCGTGAGAGAAGGCCACTGAGTTGACCGAATAGCTATGGCCCTCGAGCGTCTGCAGGCACGCGCCGCTGCTCGCATCCCAGATCTTGACTGTGTTGTCGTATGACGCTGACGCCAGCTGCGTCGAGTCGTGAGAGAAGGCCACTGAGTTGACCCAATAGCTATGGCCCTCGAGCGTCTGCAGGCACACGCCGCTGCTTGCATCCCAAATCTTGACTGTCTTGTCGACTGACGCTGACGCCAGCCGCGTCGAGTCGTGAGAAAAGGCCACTGACCTGACCGAATCGCTATGGCCCTCGAGCGTCTGCAGGCACACGCCGCTGCTCGCATCCCAGATCTTGACTGTGTTGTCGTATGACGCTGACGCCAGCCGCGTCGAGTCGTGAGAAAAGGCCACTGAGCTGACTGAATTGCTATGGCCTTCGAGCGTCTGCAGGCACGCGCCCCATTCATCTCTCATGGGTGGCTTTATCGTAATCCATTTCGGCTCTTCGTGATGGAAAAGACCCCTTATCAGGCTGCGGGCTGGACTAAACATAAGTGCAGATGCATATACCTGAAGAGGACTGCTCTCTATTGCCTGTTTGTGATACATGATAAATCGTCGAGCATCTCGAACTAGCTCGACTAATGCAAATGCATCGGCTCTTCCCTAAAGTTATATCAGTATAAATCATATATAGATAGCATCGCTGGTTCAAGGATTACCTGGATTAATGCCTCGAGTTTCGCTATAGAAATTACTCCTTCCGACATGTTTCTGCAAAGGCTAAGAGCCTCAAGCCAGTGAAGGAAGTGTTCTTTGAGAAACTTGTGAACTTGCCCATCGTCGCTGAGTTCAATATCGCTCTGCTGAAGATGACTAACCCAATAACGACACGCATACTGAATATGATCAGGAAGACATTGATCCACCTTGCTCTGCTCCACGTCGACAGCAAGAGCTCCTGGCAGTCGAAGATCGCACACATCTCTCCTTAGGTGCTCTGACATGACCTTGAGACAGTTCACAAACAGGTCATTGTGTGCTGTTTTCTCGTCGATCCAGAACTGCGGATCGGCGCATCTTTCCTTGTCAAGGAGAAAGTCGCGGAAAGAAAGGTGGAATAACTGGATAGGAGAGGTTTTGTCTTCCGGGACATTCAAAACAGAGCGTAGAGGTTCTAATGTCTCATTCACCTCCTCAGGTGGTAAAACCGCAAGCAGTCCAGTCAGAGCGGGAGCAGAAAGTGTGTCGAAAAGGATGATAATAGATCCAACAATCTGTTTGAAAAGCGTAGCAATATCTTTGTTGTCCTCATCGTAGCCTTCAATGATTAAATTTTTCAAAACCATCATGTACATATCGTCGAGCTCTTTCGTGAACGAACGACTAGTGGAGTTCATCTGAAGCATTTCAGAGAGGCACCTTTTTGGAAACCGGGATTTGCTGAGAAAACGGCATGCTGTTGCAGCGTAGATAAAGAGCCGACCGGCTTTCTGAACAAGTTTCTGGATGTCCTCCTTACCTGGCCAGTCCTCAAGGGAGCGTCTACTACTGATTTTACCCAGCTCGTGTCTCAAGAAAAGGGAGATATCATGTTTGATAACTAACTGAGGGACAGAGTGGAGCATGAGGTCGTGATGAGCGATTTCAGGCATTTCGTGGAAGCCGAGGCGAATAGGTGTTTCTGGTCTGCTGGTGATGAAAACTCGTACTCGTATAAGTTTTAGACCCTTCACCTCGGTAAGAAGTTGAAGGATCACAGGAACACCCTGGCCACCCTCGCACTCGTCTAGAGCATCGATCACCAAAATCAGGACTAAAGGTGGAAGTAGACCCTTGTCTAGCATTAACAAAGGCTGCAGAATAAGGCGCTTCCACTGATCTGGCAACGATTGCTGGCCAATATCTCCATGTTCGGCTATGGCATCGCAGACGTGGGGTCTGAGAACCGGCAGCACCTCTGTCAGCTGGACGGCGAGAGTGGTAAAGAATGCGCCGGCGTCACCTAGGTCCTTCTTGCCCTTCGAGAAGAAGAAACTCGCTCCAAGGCGTCCTTTTTCGTGAAAGCGGTGAGCAAGCGTACGAGCGATAGTAGACTTGCCGGTACCCGCCATGCCGTTGAGCCAGAAGACGCACTCGTCACCGCCACCCTCGCCCCAGTCCTGGATCTGGTTGAGGATATTAACTCGGGTCCCGTCGAGACATTCAGGAGGAGCAGGCTCGTTCTTCTTAAACGTGTTGAACGCAGCATACTCTGCGCGAGGGAGTTTTCCTAGCAGCTGGGTTTGGTTGACATTCTGGAAGAGGACCGTAAGCATTGGTGTCAATCTATTGAAAGGGATGTTACCTCGACACCAGCTTTCATTTCCATTAGCAAAGCCCAGGATTTTTCAGCCTGGTTCTGAAGTTCGGATACCTTATTATCGACAGCTTTCAAGGCATTGCTGTCGAAAGTGCTCAGATCTTTGTTAATGAGTTCCTCGGTCTTTTCCAGATCCGTCAGTAAAACCTTCCAGTCGTCTAGAACCACAATATCTCTCAAAAGGCGGAAGAGCCTCTCGCGCGAGCATTGCCGGGCGAGTTGGATCTGATACTTCAGTATTTGAGAATAGAGGTGGACGGTCTTATCTTTGAACGAGTTGTTGAGTTCTCGGAGTGGTTGTGACATGCTACACTCTAGCATCAGCATCCGTTCTGAGACCTCAAAACCCGGCTTCACAGTTCAAGTAACACCTTTACCTTGAGTTGAAATTGCAAGGACAGGCTTGCGCGGACTTAACCAACGTCCAGTGTGCATCACGAAATTGATTATATACCTTTGATGTTGAGTTGAAGGTTTAAGGTAGGTATCCTCTATAACCTTGCATCGGAGGAGAAGCGCTGAGATGTATTCGAGACCTGCCATAGCATCATCGTCTTGTGTGACCGGGTTTAGAAGGATCTGCAAGGCAATTGTGAGCACCGGAAAGTGGAAAGTAGTTTATAAATAGCTGCTTACAGGAAGAATGACCAAGACTCCAGCCCATGCTAGGGCAGCATGTGGCTCCGCACTGACTGCAGATCCTATGAAATCCTTGACAGAGAGAATCGCATAGACAACCTTGCGGACCTGCTCATTAACGATAACTTCCTTCTTGCCTACAGAAACTTTCAGTCGAGCATTCTGGATATCTCGGAGCTTTTGATCAACCAGCCTTTGGAGCTTCTCTTCCTGGTCCGCGCCTCTACCGCTTAGTATTTCTCCTCGGCCTGCTAACGTTTGACTGTCGAATGCATCTGTACAAGGTTGTTTCCTGTTAGCACAAGTTCAATTGATAGCAAGAAATAGCATCTGGTTCCAGCCGAAGGAAGACAATCCGTATTACTATACCTTGCTGATGTGGATCCTGCGGTGCCAGCAGGTCCCTCTCGTAAGCATTTATAAGTTTCTGGTACTTAGCTCCAAGCGCCTCGTAAGCTTCATCCCAGAGGTTCGTTGGCTTTGAGTCCTTCGCAGATGAAGAAACGACGGGACTGTTGTGCAATGGCGTAGAAACGGTTGGACCCGGCTCAAGGTTGGATCGTTCATTCTGAGGATATTTTCGTCTCGCATCCTCCGCTGCCGTAGGAAGATAATCTGCGGAGCTCGCATGCGATAGTATAGGACCATCAGTTGGGTCTGCCTTGGGTTTGGAGAGTCCTTCATCAGACTTTGCTCCACATAAGTCAGCGTCTCAGCCTTAGGTAAAGGTTAATCGGTTGTCAGTCACCGCTGCATCAGCCTTGTCTTTGCCTCTCACAGATCTTCCTCCGTGAAGAACTTTCCCGATACGTTCCCGCAAAGGCATCTTTTCACCGTTTGTAAACGAGCAGACCTTTATTCTTCGACCGTCAAGCGCGTGGGTTTATAGAGGTCGGTCTCGAAGGTGGCTAGAGAACACACCAAGACTGAAAGGAAGGCGGATTCTGTTTAGGTCTGGTGGTTGCGTGAATGTGCCCGTTTGAGTACTGGCGTCCGTCAGGCAATTCAAGGGCGAAGCTTCTAAAGCAATTAGCTACTTAGGAACGGGATAATTTGGTTCGAAGGGATTTGGAAGCGAACTTACCGTGGCAGGGTTATGACATCGCCTTGTTATGGAAGAGAAGATAGATGTCTAGGTCTTCAACCTAGAGAATATCAAAGTTATGGCAGACCGTAATGGAGAGCCCGCGCTTCTTCTGATGTTGGGTTGTATCACTGACGTGTTACAATTGCGGGGCATCTAGACGAATACGGCTTAGCTGCATGCACGGGCCTGCTGCTCAAGGAGAACTACCAGTTATATATACCAGAAGATTCATCGTATATTAGTATCGTGGGAGTAATATTAGGATAAGACTTGGGGAGGGCTAATCGTACACCCCCTAACGAATAATCGTACACCCCCTAATGACTAATCGTACACCCCCTACTCCCCTGTCACTTCACCGCCTTCTTACTGGCTCAGAGGGTTACTCCAGAGCTTCCGATTGGCTCGCTTCACCTGCTCACTAATTCCGAATGCTGTCTCCAAATGCGGCCACGTAGCCTCCAGCGCAGCCTATCTGATTTGTGCAGCTGTATATACGGCCGTACGTGAGCTCGTACGTGAGGCTGTACGTGAGGCTGTACGTGAGGCTGTACGTGAGGCTGTACGTGAGGCTATACAAATCGGAAAGGATGCGCCGTAAAACGGAGAGGCTGTATAGCCATGTCGATTCGTATAGCCTCACGTATAGTCCCACGTACGAGCTCACATACGGCAGAGATGCACGTGCAGATAGACGTAAGGGTGAATTTTCGGAGGCTTCCTGCCGGACCTCCGAGCCAATCAGAAGCGGTAAATAGGGGGTGTATGATCATTCGAAAGGGGGTGTACGAGCATTCGTTAGGGGGTGTACGATTAGCCCTCCCCTAAGACTTTACATAGGCGGGAACAAGGCTGCGATAATACCACGATATTAGCGTAGGTATTATTTCCCATATCGCACCGACCAGCTGCCCCACCCCCCCTGCTCGGTCGATCTTCCGCTCAACCCTGGCCCTGGGTGCCAGGGTGCCTCCACTTATGCATTAGGCCAATGGCAGGGTCGATCCCACCCCATGCTAGCGCTTACGGCTGTCGCCAGATATCGACAGCTCAGCTTGTTCAGGGAGCAGGCAGCCCGCCAGAGCGCGCCATGAGGCTGAGTAGCAACATGTCTGCGTGCGCCGAAGAGCCAGTGCTTCCCGGCCATCACCTTCATCCCAAACTCCGCACGAGACGCTCCGCTACCCCTCTGCTCACCACCTCCTATCGTGACGACTCCAAATGCCCCGGCCACCCCGCGAGGAATACACGGTAGGATGGGTGTGCGCGCTCTCAGCCGAGCTGGCGGCGGCGCAGGAGATGCTGGACGAAGAGCATGAAGATCTTGAGCGCGACGTCGACGGCAACGACGAGAATCTATACTCTCTGGGATCGATTGCGGGGCACAATATCGCCATCGTATGTCTACCGGCGGGACGCATTGGCAACAACCCTGCGGCGGTCGTGGCGACGCAGATGAAGACGACGTTCAAGGGAATCCGGTTTGGGCTAATGGTCGGCATCGGCGGAGGAGTGCCTAGCGTAGCGGTGGACATTCGACTCGGGGACGTGGTGGTCAGCCAGCCAGACAAGACCTTCGGCGGGGTGGTCCAGTACGACTCTGGCAAGGCGACGCCAAGCGGGTTCAAGAGGACAGGATCGCTTAACGCCCCTCCGCAGATACTGCTCAGCGCGGTTGCAAAGGTGCAAGCGAGCAAACTCCGAAACAGAAGCAAGGTATCTGAATACCTGCAAACATTCAGCCACATGCCCGACTTTCAGCACGAGGCGGCTGGGCCTGATATCCTGTTTAAGGCAGGCTACAACCATAAGGGGGGGCAAACCTGCGATGAGTGCAGTATAGACGGGCAAGAAGGCCGGCAGCCTTGTAACAGTTAAGGGGTGATAGCTTACTACGGGACGATCGCGTCAGGAAATCAGGTCATGAAAAATGCGGCGGAAAGAGACAGGGTCAGCGCGGAGTTCGGCGGCGTGCTCTGCTTCGAGATGGAGGCGGCAGGTCTGATGAACAATTTCCCGTGCCTGGTCATCCGCGGCATCTGCGACTATGCAGACTCGCACAAGAATAAGAGGTGGCAACCGTACGCGGCGGGGATCGCGGCGGCGTATGCGAAGGAGGTGCTGTTGGTGATCCCGCCAGCCGATGTAGCAAAGACTCGCACGGCCGAGGAGGCCACTTAGAGCGCAAGTAGTTAGTGTAACTGCTCTCTTCTATATATTGCAGCGTGGCTAATAGTGCAATAGAAAGGGCAATCCACTCTATTCCATTCCTTCTAAACCGGTTCTTTATTAGGAGGAAGGCTAAACTTAATATGCTAAAGCAGAGGCTTATAGTAGACAGAGCGTGCTATAAAATGTTAATTATTAGGCTTAGGGGGACGGGCAAAACGCAGGTCGCGCTGCAGTTTGCGTACATAGTAAAGGAGAGCTGGCCTAAGTTCTCTATCTTCTAGGTGCCTGCACTAAGTATAGAGAGCTTCGAGCAGGCGTGCGCAGAAGCTGTAAGACTGTTAGGTATCCCTTAGGCGGCTAATAGCAAGGATAATATAAAAAAGCAGTTCAAACGCCGACTAAGCACAGCGCGGGCCGGGAGGTGGCTATTGGTGGTCGACAACGCCGACGATGCAGACATCCTCTTTAGAACAGAACAGGCGAAGGGTGTTATTAACTACCTACCACAGAGCGAAGATAGTATAGTTCTATTTACCACACGCATACTAGAGGTAGCAGTCCTGCTAACACGCGGCAATATACTAAAAATCGGGCCGATGAATTAATAAGACGCGGGCGATTTCCTAGGGAAGTCGCTAATTAGGAAGGACCTCCTCCGCAACAGCGCAAGTAGGGATATACTGCTTAATAAGTTAATATATTTACCTCTGGCGATTGCACAGGCAGCCGCCTACCTAAATAAAACCAGCATGTCTATTACTAAGTACTTGCACCTGCTCCGGAGCACGGAGCAGGACCTTATTAATCTTATAAGCAGGGAGTTCCGCGACAATACGTAATATAACAGCTCGGCGAACGCAGTGGCCACAACGTGGGTGGTATTATTTAACTATATCCGCGCACGCGATGCGGTCGCGGCAGGCCTTCTGCTGTTTATATCTTATATTAAGTGGAAAGCTATTCTATACTCTATTCTACTAAGCGTACAATTAGAAGTGCAGATAGAGGAGGCGATCGGCACGCTCTATAGGTACTCCTTCCTAGTACAACAGAGGGACGAAGAGGAGTATAATATCCACCAACTAGTGCACCTAGCAACTTAAATCTGGGTCAGGCAGTACAGCAACACAAAAGGGGTGGCTAAGAAAGCTATTAGGAATGTGGCCGGCGTTTTCCTATTAAATAACTATGCAAATCAGGCAGTATAGAAGGCCTATCTACCGCATGCTCTACGGCTACTCAAGGATAAGCAAGGCTGCGAGGTTAATAAGAGGTCCAAGTTGTGTCTTTTAGTAGAATAATATTTGCAGGTAGACAGCAGGATCTAAAAAGCAGTAAGGTGGCTTAAGAAGTCCTGTAAGCAAAGGTAAAGACTTAATAAGGGGAATTCGGATCGGCTATTATTGCAGTATAACCTTACTATAGTATACTAAGTAAACAGACAGATTAAGGAGGCAGTTAAGCTGCTGGAAGGCGTTATTGCAATATAAGCAGAAGTGCTCGCAGAAGACTATCCCTTACAACTAGTGTTGCAGCACGAGCTTGCTACAGTATACCAAGCGAACGGACAGATTAAGGAGGCAGTTAAGCT